CATCTTCCTGGGCCCTTACACCCTAAATGGATCGCAATGGGGAAGCCAGGGCACAGGGAAAGCTTCATGAGCATGTGGCCTGGCAGACTCCAGACTCTTTATGAAGAAGGCTCTGTTTGATGTGCTACTACTATCATATTGAACCCTGAAAATCCCAAAAGGGATTCTACAGTTCCACATGGGTCTGGACCCTACAAACCCACCGACAAATCTTTCAGGCTAAGCTATAGAATCTCAGGTATGAGTTCATCTGTCCAGAATTACACAGGTTAAAATTAATACAAGTTGGGTTTGACTTCAGGTTGGTGACTGGTTAAATGCCATCCATTCTGTGGGACCTTGGTCCTATGAAGAAAAAAAACATTAAAATAAGAAAAAAAATCACTGTGCATCTGGTAAAGATTGGTATCTAAGAGAGTCTTCCGGGCAGCACCTGCATGGGAGAGCCTTGTTTAAAACAAGAAAAGGACACCAAACCACATTTCTTTATTCTCTCCTTATTTTAGAATTAATATAATATTTTAGAATTAATATAATATTTTCTGTGTTCCTTATGTCACATATAAAGGAGAAAAGGAATGAATAATTTCCTCCCATATACTCCTTTCCCTGCCTTTGTTTTATGTTTGACCTGAAGACCATGCCAGGGCAAACCTCTATCTCCCTCCTTCCTCTTCAGTGGCATCTCCCTAGGGAACCCTTTAAGTGTAGATGAAATGGAAAGCAGAAGGAATATGAAAGAGGGGAAGGAAATGCCAAGTGAATAAATGACAATTTTACTATCCCCCATAATCATTATCAGCAACAAAATAACTTGACTTAGTTTCACTAAAAGCTAGAGCTAAGCGAACTGAGACGTACCTATGAGACGTACCTATGAGACGTATCTATAGTTTGCAAGCCCTGACAGTCGGTTCCAACCAGAAGTGAAAGCACAAACATTATGGACAAAACAAGAGGTTCCCACTTAGAAGACACTGTGTGGTAGAAGCAGGCTTCTGGAATTGCAGGTAAGCCAACATGGACTTGGTTTCTAGATGAAGCTGTTGAGAACTGCATGGCCCCAAGAAACACCCAGACCTTCTCCCTGCCATAGTTTAATGTCTTTGACATGGCAGTTTTATGCAGCAAACCAGAGCATCACAGGGCATGTCCCAATTTTTAAAAAATAAATTCCAGATGGTGGGGGCAGTGGGAGGACATGAGAGGAAACTAGGATTGGTTTGTAAAATAAGATTGTTTTAAAAAGTAAAAAAGTAGTTATTTTCAAAGATAGTTTTAAAGATTGATTTTAATTGTGTGTGTGATACACATACACTGTACACACATGCACACACACAGATGAGTGAGATGAATGCAGATACCCTTGGAGGTCAGAGATATCAGATCCCCTGAAGGTTAACTTACAGGCAGTTGTGAGTTACCAGATGTGGTATTCCTGTTGCTATGATAAAGTATCCTGATACAAAGGAACCTGTCTGTTGGGAGAGTAAGAAAGTTATCTCATCTTTCAGTCCATCATTAGGGGAAGTCAAGAAAGGAACTTCAAAGAGTCCTACTGCATCCACAGTCCAGAACATACAGAAATCAATGCATACATGCCATATGTTTTCTTGTTTGTTTTCAGCTCAGTTTGCCTTACATGGCTCAGGGTACCCTGTCTAGGGAATACTGCTGTCCAACCTGAACTGGATCTTCTCAGGACAATCCTCCATACACAAGTCCGCAGGTCAAACCAATGTTGACAATCTCTCCCTAAGACTGCCTTCCCAGGTGATTCTAGGTTGTGTCAAGTTGACAATGAAAGCTGATCATTATGTATAGCAAGACTTTGCCTCATTCCTAGCTCCTGCTCCTGTTGAAGCTATATGTGAGAATTTATTAATTCCAAAGAGACAAATACAAGAAAGAAACAGGCATGTAAGGTAGTTATGAAAATTGGGGCTATTCTTCCTGGAGCTAACTAACTGACAGGATTGTGTTCCTTTTCTGTTTGTTCGGGTTTTATGAAATAGTCTTACTACACACTCAAAGTCATGGTGATCCCCTGCCTCAGACTTCCAATTACTGGGGTCAAAAGCCCAAATTACCATATCTATATCTATAGCAGTGTTTCTATAAATCTTTGGTGTGTCTCAAAACAGGAACCTGGGGAAGATGTTCATGATTGACAGGACCCATCTAGATGTATCTGACTTAGTGCGCTTGAGCTCAGACCTGGAATGAACACATCTAAACATCCAAGTCCTGCTAACTGTTCAGTGCCCACATCATGAGAACTACTGTCTACAGAAATGCATTGAAGCACAATTAGAACGACCCAGGATGAACATCTTGGTGTTGCAGTATCTTCCTGTCTCCTGTGAGTTTACAGCTACAGTTGCCATCACAAAGCCATAAAACCCCACTGAGGATTGCTGGTCCCTCACACTTGGTGCTAGAGTTGTTATCGATCTTCCAAAATTGGAATCCTTACTTTTTTGTGCCTTAAATGATTGATTTTTCTCACTCCCTACTTCAAAGAACTGCTTTGTTTTACTTTCAGAAACAGTCGCTTAGAGGAAAGGGGGTAGGTTTTTTTTTGAGAGGAACATAGCATTTTAAAAGCCATTTCAAGACACAGCTGAGGTCCTGCAAGGCGCATTAAGAGGACAGCTGTGGGCGAGGCACTTTGGAGGAAATCTCCAAGCCTGCAATTGAAAGGCCCTTTTAACCACCTCCTGAGTCCCAAAGACCTCAAGCTTTCTTTCTTATAGACAGAAATGATGTTTCCAGGTTGTTTTTTGTTGCCTAGGGCTTGGACACACTAAAACATTAAGCCTCCCTCCAGTGTGTGTGTGTGTGTGTGTGTGTGTTTGTGTGTGTGTATATTTTATTTCTAGCTCTATGAAGCTCTACGCAGAGTCAACTCTAAACAGTCTGCTGCTGCAGCTGAATATCATATGATCCATGTCCTCTGGCTTCCAAAATGTCAAATAATGTATATGTGACATTGAAGACAAAGTCAAAAGATAAATCCTGAAAAAAAATCAAATAAGAAGAAAATAAGAGTAGTTTCCCAGCAAGGCTTTAATGTGAGTTATTTACATGTCAAATGATCAGAAAAAGGTGACAGGCTCATGAGAACACAGTTAGACTGCAGTTTGAGGCTATGTAGATATTAGCCTAAGTCAAACAGACTTCTTGCCCAGAGGGAAAGAAGACCCACCTTGAAACATGTATTTGTTGACCTACCTTTTCTAATTCCTTTCTCTCAAAACCATAAACAAATCCTCTTCTGACTCATTAGAAAGAAAGAGAAAAGATACCAATGGCTCTCTATGAATGATTTTCAGGGTGGTATTTCCTAGCTAGCCCTTTATGGTTTTAGCTTGTTTGTTTGTTGTTGTTTCTGTTTGCTTAAAGAAACCACCAATTAACAATGTTAATGTTACTCAGCAATAAATGTGGAATGGGGAGGAACTAATGAAAATAGGTACTGTCCATACTAAGCTAGTATGGGTACCCTGGGCTGTGTGAGTGGAACATCTTCCTAGTTAGAGAGCGTCTTCTTCAGTGTTTTTTTTTTTTTTTCACTACAATGGATTTATGGTCCCTAGGCAAACCTTCCCACAGGCCTGGCTCCTCATACTTCATCTTTTAGAAAATGATGGTGTTGCCCATGTCTTGCTAAGCATCAACACCTTGGAGAGCCACAGTAGACTGAAGGAGCAGCTTAGAACAGCCTGAGAAGACTTTGTAAAAAACAGAGGGGCTGTGGGTGACAAGAAGCCAGAATCAGGGGGTGACTAGCATCAAGGGGTGACTAGCAGCAGGTGGTTTAGCGGGTGATTTGCAAATTCATGCTTTGCACTGTTCCAGTCAACCAGGAGGAGGGACTGAACACTGAACATGGGGTTCAGTTAGGTGAAGAATTATTATGGCGTGGTGACAATGGAAGCGAGTGTTTTGCCCAGAAGTGAGTCACTTGTGATGCTGTGCACATGTAAGAAGTGTGCGTTCTGCACTTCTGGCAAAATTACTTTTATAGAGTAACTATATTCTATGCAGAGAGGAAAATATCAGATATGGTGAGGAGCACATGACTAATCCAGGCAGGAAAATGTCAGACAAAATATGAAGAGTATGATGGAGAAAACTCTGATAATGTAATATGAAGTAAAATTCACAAATTTAAAAAATTTAGGAAATGGCAATTATATTCAAAAACATCCAAGTTTATATGTCAAAGGAAATAAGGGCACTCTGATAGAATTAAAACTTAAATTATCAAAAGAAAAGCTGTGACTATTTTGAGAAATATCCCAGTGTGAATTTCAAAACAATTCATGACAAAGGAAAGTTGTTTTTGTTACTGTTTATCAATATCTTCCAAACTGAAATATTTCCATCTTGGAGAGAAGTTCCTTAAGACTCAAGAAAATCCACTTGAAATATTCTGTCCTAGGTCTCTAGATACAGACAATAGGTAATGCACAAGAACGAAGTCCCTGAAACTTACAAGATCTATAAGTCTCCCACCTTCCTCCTTAGGGTTATGAAAGTAGCATGCATGCTGGGCAGAGAAGAGACAATCTGACCAGTCAGTTAGTCAGCCTGGAAGTTCTGCCAGCAGCTTCAGGTTTCCATGAGTTGTCACCCATGCTGGGGAGGGGTCAGGGGTGCTGAGATATCACCCATGCTGGGGATGGGGGGTCAGTGATGCAGCTGCCTTGGAGTCACCTATGCTCCTCTAAGTAGCCTTTTACCATGTTCTCTAAGTAACTCCTATAAGCTCACTGATTCTCCAAGTTAGTCTTGAGTGCCCTACATGGAATGAATAGACAATAGTTGGTATCTCCCCAAGAAAAGCAACACTGCAGCTTAATCCTGATTCAAAACCTGACAACTATTATGATAATAAAATAATAAAGCCAGCATTCAACCAAATATTACCAATTTCTAAGAGTAATTTTTAATTTTCAAGAACACATCAATATACTTGACTACATTAACAACAGGAAGAATAACTTATATGATCAAACACGAAATTCATTAAGCACTCGTAAGTAAAAATCTCTTTGCAGCTAAGAGTGGGGAAATGACGTCCTTCACTTGATAAAAAGGGTCAGGTGAGTAACCTACAGCTGATGTGAAACTTCATGGTCAGGATGGGACACACTCTTCTGATATTTAGACCAAGGCAGAAATCCTCTTCCAGCAGTATTGTAGAGGACCTAACCGGCTTAATAAGTCATGAAAAGTAAAGAAAACCACAGGACCTGTAGAGGAAGAAATAATATTGCTGTTATTTGCATGTTGCTTACCTGTAAAACCACAAAATCTAAAGAAGCCATTTGGAACCCAATACATCACATTCAAAGATGAAAATCTTTTAAAATGTATTTTAAATAATTTTTATTTGAAAGGTTTTCATAATACATTTTGATCAAATTCTTTCCTCCCCTTCAAATTCTCCCAGATATGCCTCACCTCCCACTACCTACACGTCTCCCATTTTAAGTCCAGTAAAACTTTGAATTTTAGTTAAGTAATATTAGAAAAAAGGAAAAGCAACATGAAAATTCCATATATAAAATACAAAAATACTTTAATGAGGTAAGAAGAGTAAGGCAAATACTGAAAATTCTATCAAATGCCACAAAACAGTTCTTAAAATAGTCAAATTAATGCTCTTTGTCAGGGCCAATAACATAAGTAAGAAATCAAATTGCTCAGTAAATTGACAGCAGTCTCAAACACGATTTCAATGGTGGGGTTTACAGTGGTAAGATGATTGTGTAATACATATAAAACTCAAAGGATTTTGAACAGCAAAAAGGTATACTTGAAAGAGAAGGGGGAAGTAGGGAACTCATACTTCAAGAATCAGCTGCTTTTGTTTCTTAACAAAACAAAGAATAATTCCATAGTGATCCCCTTTCTTAAGCCAACATAAAAACCCAAAACCAAGCAACAATAACAAAAACCTGACAGGGCAGTATTTTCACTGAGGAAATGGTCTTTTTATCAAACAGTACTGAGATGTTTGGATGTCTGGTTGACCATTAGTTAAAATGAACCTCAATGTCTGTATCTTCAGAAGCACCGCATCTAGGATAAATTCTGAAATTGCAAATGAAAATTTGAGTGGTGTATTTCTGTTCTAAATCAACACCAAAGCTATTGGTATGACAAGAATTTCTCAGTGTCGACACATTGAGAAAACTAAAAAAAAAAAATTGAATAAATTTTCATTAAACACCACAACGTTTTTAGGTGGGTCCATTGGTAGCACAGAGAAGATGAAAACCCACACTACAAATTGAGAGAAAATATTCATATGTCTGACAAATAAACTTTACCAAAATAGAGGTCCTCAAATATTTGTCTTTAGGACCCTTTTACACTCTAAAATTGATTGAAGACAGGAGGCTCTGTTCAGTGGAGGAGCACTTGCTTAGCATGTGCAAGACCCTAAGTGATCCACATGGGGCAGGGTGGGGGTTCGGGGGATGAGGGCAAGTAGAGAGAGGCAGAGAGACAGACAGACAGACACAGACAGAGAGAGACAGAAAGAGAGATACAGAAGCAGAGAGAGAAAAACAGAGACACAGAGAAGGAGAGCTACAGAGAGAGGGACAGAAAGATATTTTCTTCATGTAAGTTACTGATTTTAATATGTAATGAAGTTAAACATGAAAATAATACTTACAAATGTTTAAGCAGTTTAGAAAAAATTCATATTATAGTAATGTTATGTTTCCAAACCAGGTTTTTTTAACTAAGAATTGGGCAGTTATGTCTTTTAAAAAATGTTCCAATTTCAATTTCTAGCTTCAAAAAGATCATTCCTTTTGCATATTTGCATCTACAATTCATCCATTGTGGCATGTTTGTGATGCAGATAGTGGAAAATTAGCTCTCTGCATGTCTTAGTAATCCGAGTTGTTTTAAGAAAGTGCTGCAATTATGAGGCTGGGGGGTTAAGATCAGGGCAGAGACCTGGTGTCTGATGAAGCAAGTCTTTTACGTTGAATCCCTACGGTAAAGGGACAAAAGACCACTCTCAGTATCTTTTTTACAGGAGGCTAATTCCTAGTCAGAGGGTTCCATTTCCCTGATCTGATAATTCCCCCAGAGTTCGTCTACCTCTTCATATCATCACCATGGGAATTAGAATTTCAACATGTGTGTTTGAAGGGATACAAATGTTATGTCCATTGCACAAAAATACATAGCTACAAAGGGGGTTTGAGGGGATGTTCATAACCTTTTAGGTAACAGTGAATATATGCTGATGCTACAACAAACCTTGAGAGGTTTTCTTTTCTTAAATGTTAGTTGATACCAGAGCCTTAAATTATATCCATAAATATAATATTAAATAGGTCATGCATGGTCTTTCAGCATAAGACACACATACACACACACACACACAGACTCACACGCATGTATAATCATTATACAAGGAAATACTAAACAGAAGATCCAAGCAATATCAACATACAACAAAAGCGATGTGAGTAAATGGGGCAGTTCATTGTGAGAAAAATGTGATGGATCCAGGTTCATTGGAACACCTTCTACGCAGCAAAAAGAGACAAGGGAAAGTTGGTGGGCTCCACATCACTTTCTCAAAAATTGGCAGACAAGAAAAACAATACGGTGCAAAGATACTGAACAAGCAGATTTCATGTTATGGTGAAAGTAATGGGAAATATGGCAGAAACTGAAAGAGTGGAAGGGAAAGAGAAGTCTCTAAGGCTAACACCATAGACTGTAAAATCCTACCAACATACTTACAATATTAAATGCATGAGGTGTTATCTGCTGTGCTGCAATAGAAATGTCATGAGTTACAAAAGGTCAGAAATCACAAAGGCGACTCTTCTAAAATTTACAGTCAATACCTAGATGTGAAAATAACCCCAGAAAGTCTAAAATATTGTCTTCAAGAATGCTAAATGTATTCAGAAATAAGCAGAGAAAAAGTAATAGGCAAATGGCATCAGTTTTAATGTAAATCATTTTCACGGGATAAGTAGGAATGTATTTCTAGGCTCCTGCAAAATAAGATTTATCTGCCCTTTTTCTATTTCTGAAACAACTATCCTAAGGAATTTAGAAATTGCACACAAAGCAACATGTGCCAACTCTCACAGTGGTCAATGACAGTCTTAAAGAAATAAGAGGGCACATTTTCGAGACAGAATCTTCATAAGTTTCCCAGAATAGCTTGGGACTTCTTATCATTCTCCCGCCTCAGCATTTCAAGTATAGAGATTACAGGTGGGTATAATACCTGACTACATGACAGGGAGATTTTATTTTTAAGATAGGATTTCAAGTTTCTTAGACAAATTTTAAATTCACTATGCAGTCAAGGATGACCTTGAACTTCTGATTCTGCAACCTCCACCTCTTGAGAGCTGAGATTACTGGCCTGCACCACCACAGGTTATATGTAATGCTGGGTATCAAACCCAAAGCTTCGTATATATGCTAGGCATGCACTCTACTGATTGAGTTACCTCTCCATCCCTACAGGGGGTTTTTAATTGATCACATTGAGCAGTCTATTGAAACAATTCAGTTTATAACTGAGTCCGTTTAAGTTCTTGGAATGATGTCTTGCCTTCACCTCTTCATTTCTGGCATTTGCCTTCAGTGGGAACACATCCATTATCCAGAAAGAAGCATCCACTGTTCCTTGGTGCCCATGTCCTTGTATTACTCCTTGGATTGGTTTTCAGGCTCTTGTGGGCTTTTTAGCATTATCTCAACTGTCTAAATATCTGTTCTCTTAGACATTATTTTGTTAGATGAGACACCTGAAATTACAGTCATTGGGAATCATGAGGTTGGGTATTCTGGGACAGACCTCCAATCTGGTAGAGTTCTATTGAAGTGCCAATCAAAATTCCAGGCAGCAGGGGAAGGAGGCTTCCCTGGGGCATCCTGATTCTGAAATGTAAATTATGGTTTGCCTTGACTTAGCCTGCAATCTCTAAGATGTCCTCCTCCTTTGGTTCAAAGAAAATGCTCTCAGTGCAGCTGGGGATGTGTTTTCTAATTAAGGGACAAATCTGCATGTGCTGAAAGTTGGACTACTAGGTTTGTAGAGCTAAACTTGGTGGGTCTGCGCATTTTGTTGCTACTTCTTGAGAGACTGGCACCTGGCTGCAATGGGGTGGACCTAGAACAAGGTCAGCCTTCACTGTGTGTCCATGTCTCCGAGTCTCATGATGCAGTGTATTTGAATATATCTCACATAATAAACAGACATTGTATGAATTAAAAAGAAACAAGAACCTACTTTGTATATGGAGTTGTCACTATTTCCCTCTGAGAAATTCCCCAAATAAGGAAGCAATTTTTAAAAAGAGAAATCAAGGTTAGTTGTACTCACTCATCCCTCATCCCTTGTACATAGACACTGATTTCTCCTTATGTACCTTTTGTTTCTTTTCCAATGGCAGAGGGCATATTTCAATGCTACCATTACCCAAGACATGCCAGATCCATGGTAATATTAATTGCACTAGTCGTAATAGTGCATTTATCTCTGTAATTGTAATTTCCAATAAAGGATATTACAAAGAATGAAAATTTGTATTTTGAGATATTCAATGAAGTGAAGCAGTGGTTCAAAGTTCAAAACAAGACACTGAAATGGAATCAGTTAAAATAATCTTTAGCAGTTTTCTATTGAACTGATAATATGACTTTACTGGATAATGATCTATTTATGATATGAATATTGCACTTTGTGGCATAATGGTATAAGATGCTATGTACATTTCATAAGCAAATCTGTGATGTACTGAAATAAATTTCCTAGTCACATCACAACCAAATAAATGTATTTCTGAGACATATCAGAACCTTCACTTTGCACTGTGTCTCTACTTTTCCAGCAGCTCTCTTGTGTGATAGTTTTTCTGGGGAGAACTGAATATATGTCTACTCACTCGGGGGAGAACTAAGGACAGACCAAAGAACACTACCCATGCCAACTTGGTGAACCAGTGACTTCAGTGAAGTTTCTTATAGGAGTGTAGATGAGGTGCTACTTAGATGGAGAGTCAAAGATGGTTGAATCATTGAAAGCCCATCCCAGAGTGAGTGACAATTCATGAAAGCTGGACCCCTGAGGCTCGTTGAATGACTTAATGCAGCTTGATCAGTTGGATGCTCTCCTCAGTAGCCTGTTCTGCTTATATGGCCTTGGGGAGAGAGAGGTTCTTAGGTTTCTACAGCTGTGATGAAACACCTTGAACAAAAGCAATTTGTGGAGGAAAGGGTTTATTTCAGCTTACAGTTCAATATCACAGTGCATCAGTGAGGGAAGCCAGGGTAGGAACCTGGAGGCAGGAGCTGATGCAGAGGCCACAGAGAAATGATGCTTACTGGCTTGTTCCTCGTGGTTTGTTAAACTTGCTTTCTTATCCTCAGGACCAGCAACCCAAGGACAGAACCCCCCTTATGGTGGGTTTGTCTGCATCAATCATTAATTAAGAAGTTGCCCCCACAGATTTGCCTATAGGCTGTTCTTATGGAATCATTTTCTCATATAACTCTAGCTTATGTCAAGTTAGCAAAAGAGATGAACCAGCTCAAGTCTAAAATTTCTAGACTTTCTAAGACTTGTGAGTTGTTTATTTTCAGAGTCTTACTGGAATCCCTTCATGATAATGCACAACAACCTGCTGCTTTCCTTTTCTGAGATGATACCCTACTATAATGTCACTCAAATCAGGCCTCTTAGAACCCATTAAGGATTTCTGTCTCTTGCAGAGAAAACATCAATTCCTGTTAAGGAGCCCACATTTCTTCTTCCTTCCCTGTTCTCTGTTCTCTTCTTTCTCTCTACTCCATCTCTTCACTAGTCTTTGAACTCCAGAGGGTAAAGATCACTGTCCAGACACATTGGGTTTCCACTCTGCTTTTAAAAACTTGGGTTAGAAAAGCTTTTTTTCTTTTTCAATTCCCTCTGTTGTGTTTGTTCCTTATGGATACCCACACAGTCTACACCTTCAATAAAGATACCTCCTCCTTGAGGGTTTTGATCATTCTATTTAAAATAAAAAATAACTTCATGAAATTTATCAAAACACTGACAATCTGCATGCTATATTGTAGCAATTAATTTACTTATAATCTGTTTCTACCACAATAATATAATTTCTATGTTGTAAGATATTGGACCCTATTCTGTTCCCTGGCTTTTCAGCACCAAGGAGAGTGGGCACACATAGATTCACTATAGACAACTAAGTGAATCAGGTCTGTGTGTATTTAAGTCTGGGGTTTCAGCAGTATCAGGTTTCTAAAGTTAGGCATTTAGAAATCTCGCAATCTCTATCAGGGACAATCTTGATGGGCTTTTGTTTGTTTGCTTGTTTGTTTATTGAGGTTATTGTTGTTTTTCTATTTGAATATCAAACAGTGGTGATGATTTAAAGCCAACTGTTGTTGATGGTGTTCTGAACTGAAGGAAGAATTGTAACTTTAAAAACATGCTCATTTTAAAATGTGCTAAGTAGATCTCTTACAGACATTTTTTCCTTCAAAAATGTTTAGAAACTTTGGATTTAACATTGTAGAGGAGCAAATTTCCCATTCCTTTAGATCTCTTTCCATGTAAATTCTCAAGAGAAAATCAATATTTGACAGATGAAAATGTTGTGACGAAAGCTCACATTTTTAGGTGGCACTTTTGTTCACATTCAAGGAGGAAACCCGGAGCCTTCACAAACAAACAGAAATTCTGTGTCTCTGCCCCACCACTTCAACCAGGCCTTCTCACTATACTATGCTCTGTCCAGGTACCTGGTTTTTCTCCAGTAGAGTTTGCCCTTGCAATAAGTTGCTGTTCACTGTGTTCACCTGCCACCTATGCTCAAATCATATCAAATACCAATAATCCCAGAACAATGTGAACTGGGAATGAAGGTATACTCATATAACCCCAGACAGCCCTCAGGAGGCAGAGGTGAGAGGATCAGAAGTCTAAGACCATCCTCAGCTACAGAGTGAACTCAAGGTTAGTCAGGGTGAGACACATGAAACCATGCCTCAAAAAAAAACCCAAGAAAACACATACACAAAAACTTCCTCAGATTCTTTTTCTCATAATAATCCAAGCCAAGCCAGGACATATGGAGCCCTTCCAACTGCTAGCTGCTCCCTGTGCACCACTCACTCTCCTCCAGGAAATGATTGTCCCCATTTGCAATGTTCAAGTTGCACGGCTGACATCCACACAAAACTGGAAAAATTCTGCATCAGTCTCACTTGCAAAGGCTACCAGCATATACTTCTGAGATATTGTGGTGTGTGTGTGTGTGTGTGTGTGTGTGTGTGTGTGTGTGTGTGAATACACACATATGTGTTTAGAATTGGGACTGGGAATGGGCTTAATATGTAAATCACTGAGTTCAAATAATCAGCATTCCTGTAAAACATAGACCTGGAAACTCACCTACATAACATCCATTTTACAGAGACAGAGACAAGTCCATCTTGAGAGCTTCTTGGCCAGTTGGCCTAGACTAAATGAAGAACTCCAAGCATTAGAGACTTTATTAAATAAAGCAAGGGAGAGATACTTGAAGTCTGTCCATATCCCTGGCATGCCCATTTATGCCGTTATGTGATACTATTCTAGGTAGATTTGAACAAATGTTGAATAACCACACATAGGGAATTGATGATAGATCAAAGTATGAATAGTACTAAAGGCAAATGTGGTGAACCATTGAGTTTTATTGGGGTTTCTTACAGGAATATGGAGGAGAGGTTCTTGAGAGGGCACTGCACAGTTTGCAGGCAGCTCCTCAGGTTGACAAGTGTCCTTTCCTGATGGCTCAACTGGCTGGATTCTCTTCCAGGCACCTGGGCTGGTGTCTGCTTTTTTCTAGGTAGCTGAGCCTGTCTGAGGGGCTGGCTTTTTTGAGAATGACTCTCAGCAGTCTTTAATGCTTGTATATTCTTGGGAAGAGAGAAAGCTGGCATATCTGCTCTAATTCAGGTACATCCTGAGTCTGTATTTGAGTTGTTTGCCTCTTAATGAACTTCTCTGTAAGATGGAATGTTTGACCTCCTTCTAGAACATTCTGTTGTTTTACCTCCTCATAAACACCCAGACCTAAATACCATGTTGCTTCACTTTCCTTTTGCATCTCATGTCTTCATATGGAAGGTTTGCAACTTGGAAGAAACCAATAATTCAACCATTCCGGCCCTTACACCTGTGCCTTCTTCAATGTGCTTCAGAGTCAGGGACAAAGATGGCTAACGGAGGTCCTTAGAGCTCTAGTGGGGTATTGAAACATTATGTCTTTTTTATCTTATTCCTCTCTTCCTGGAGTATGGTTGTATATCAGTGAGGTGAACCTCAGTTGTATTTCATTTGCTATAGAAAGCTACTGGGAAAAAGTCAGAGAAGAAGAAACGGAAGAACATCTAAGTGAACTCTACCATCAGTAAGAACCTACAGGCACAGATACAAAAGCTATACAATAGCTTTACTGAAAGAATAGCTATTGGCTTTTCACTGGTGCCAAGAATATCCCTGGTCACAGGTCTGTCTAAGCTCCCAGGACCAGTTGTGAATTTACCCGTTGTGCACCATGCCCTAGTCTAATCTAATCTAATCAGAAAGCTTATTTTATTCACAAGCACTTGTGCCATATTACACTTGCTACACTAACTGGCACATCTCACTTCCATCATGAACATGAAGAATCCATAGCTGAACAGGACTTCTGCTCATAATTATCCCCAGCAACCTCAGTAGAATTTCATGGGACTACATCCATTCTGGATAGCAACTGGCATCAATGGAAATGTCCTTTATTCTTCTGGGGTGTCTCTAGAGCCTTCCTGGGATTTCAAAGCTTTATAGTTTAAGCGAGCACCTGTTTAGTCTTGTAGGACCCACTGCTTTACTGGTAGCCTTTGCAAGTGAGACTGATGCAGAATTTTTCCAGTTTTGTGTGGATGTCAGCGTGCAACTTGAACATTGCAAATGGGGACAATCACCCTGGAGGAGGGTGAGTGGTGCACAGGGAGCAGCTAGCAGTTGGAAGGGCTCCATATGTCCTGACTTGGCTCACACTCACCAGAACATATTCCTTGCCTTTAATGAAGGCCTGACTCTGCATCTCCCAGTGAGGTTACTCTTGTCGGATTTGTAGGAACCGGTTCCTTTGCAGGAAGGGGCAATGGTTTGGTTAAAAACAAGTCTGAGGAGATCGAGGAGCAGAGAGTCTAGGGCATGCTTGGGAAGTTCTCGGGTCTTCGTAGGTATGATTGCTTCTAGACGGCTGTTATTTTTTCCATGACACCATAGTTCCCACAGACCTCTGTCTCTGAGAGAAATAAAATCAACTAGAGCTGGGTCCTTATCCATTCCCAGGGGAAGGGACTGGCTTTGGATGCTGGATAGTGCAGGGCATACAACTCTCTCTCTCCCTCCCTTGGGGTAGCAATCAAAGAGTTATCAACTCATCTTGAGATCCTCCTCTGGGACTCAAAAAGAAAGAAACAACAACAAAAAATCTAAGTCTGGCACCTAGGTTCTTTCCTGAGTGGGTTGTCATGGCAACAGGATATAGCAACTGTTTTCAGTATTCTGGGGACTTGGCAATTCTCACGAGTTTCTCTGCCTCAGCTTCTATGTATGCGCAGACATATGGACACCAGAACTAGTGCCAGCATGGAGGAGCAGAATGGAAATTCATGCCAGGATCCTTCTGGGGTGCCCAGAACCTCAGTTGACCTCCCAAAGTTTAGCTCACTCTGCACTGGTGCTCTGAGCAGGACCCATCTGGTTCCTGGACCGGTGGTCCTTAACAACTCTGGCTGTAAAGTGAAGGACTGTAGTGCAAGGAGCTGAAAGGTTAAAGCCAGCTGCGGAGGGTCTAGATCTCAGTTGGTCAAAGTTTCCTTCCAGAGTGCCACAGTTTGTCTTGGTTGTTCTGTTCTAATAAAAGGAAAATTGCCTCCATGGGGAGTATTGTTGATACCACGATTGACTAATGATCCGTGGCTTCATTACAACTCAAAGAAAAACATGTAACTTACTATATACACATTTAAGAAGCTGTGTGTGTATGTGTGTGCACGTGCATGTGCATGTGTGTTCTGAGCATGTGTGTCTATATATGAGTATATGTGAACATTTGTCTGTGTGTATGTGCCTGACAAGGCTCCAGATTGAGTACAAGTTCTGTTCCTCCAGGGCTTCAGACAAGAGTATGATGCTTATGAGGAAATGTTCATGTCGCACACACTGTTATGCCCTTAGTGCTTTGTGTAATTCATGACAAATGATAGAAGGTTAACCCACATTAGAGGAACGTGAATGAAAATGTGAATGAGTCAGAGTGGGCTGTGGAGGTTTTTGTAGAGTGTTGTTATTTTCATTCAAAAGTGTCTCTTGATAAAAACACGGGTGTGCATGCTAGCACACACACACGTTCAACTTTTCATGAGAATGCAACAAGTAACCCTAAGATGTAGTGGATCCAAATTTTAGGATTTTTTAAAATATTATTATAGAGTGCCACAGAGTGCCAATGTACACAAGGGGAGTTCAGAGGACAACCTTCAAGAACAATATAATGAAGTCAGTCCCTCACAGCAAACAAGAGCCCTTCCCTGCTGACATATCTCACAGGCTCAAGAGCTCTTTCTTATTTAATTTTATATGTATAGGATCTGTTGATCATGAATACAGAAAGGAGACAATGGAGATGGCTCTTTTGCACTCTAACAGAGCCCTGGCTGAGCACATTCAGCCATCTTGGGGTGACTCCCAAGCAGCTGGCATCTCAAAGATCTATGGCTTAGGTACACTTTTCCAAGTTTCCCTCTTTGCCCCCAAGTTGATGTTTTAGGATCTTTTTCCTTACTCATCCATTCTACTGCACTTTCTGGTAAAATACTGCATTATCTGTGAAGCATTTGATGCCAGACTCTTCTCTGATCTAAGATATCTTAGTTTCTGACCTAAGATATCTTTCCCTGACTATACCTCCTGAGACTTCCCACCTTTCGTTGCATGTTTTAGGATTTTACATAGTCTTCCATTTGAGTCTTCTTTCCCATATAAAGTACTTGTAACCATCAGGAGATCCAGTCATTTTGCCCTGGTACTCACTCTGTGATCAACATGTTTAATGTGATGGATTCAAGATCTGGTCTTAGTCTGCACCCCAAATTTTAGCCAGGGTTGGGTCGTCAGGTGCTCTCAGCCATTTCAACAAGCTGTTCTGCAAAGTAAGAGATTCCATTTAGATCACTAGAGGAAATAAATGTATGGTAGAAAGATATTTCTCAAAGTTAAAATCTATCTGCCCTAGAATTCAGAAGAAAGTCATGGGTCCCTGGATCCATACACTTGTTTACATCTATGCTTAAATCTGGGATCTGGGAACCTAACTCATATCTTCTGGAAGACAGTAAGTACACTGAACTCCTGAGTCATCTCTCAGCCCCAAGAAATACCTTCATTAATGCCTAACTTCTCAATCAGTCAATCCTCAGCATGTGCACTTGTACATGCATGCACACACACACAAACACAAAATGTAATTATGGATTTTCCCCCCTTTTTTGATTTCCTCAGTATCTTTAGGACTGATATGAGGGGAAGCACCTCCTTCCCATGCAAACTTTCCATCTCATCAGGAATGTAAAGCTCCCCAAATACGTTTTTATAATTAAACACATTTTCTGAAGTGAACTGCAGAAGGACAAAATATTCATTTTTCAAATAAAGTCCCCAGTCATGCAGTGCCCTGGTGATATAACTGTGGGATGTATCAACTGAAATGACGCATCTGGGGGAATTTCATGCAGGAACATTAGGGTTACAGTTGTAATTATAATCATAATCCTAGTTATTATTTAAATAATTATTTGAGATTTCCTAGTAACATATTTGATAATTGACAATTATATGCATACATATATATGTGTATATATATGCATATTTGAAAATTCATATAGATCATTAGTTTTCTTCAGGAAAATAGACAAATAATCCTTAGTACTTATGGAAAATTTTAGAGTATAGCCCTATAAAATAAAACAAAGTAAATAAAAATAAAATAAGGAACCCAGTCATGCATTTCAGTCTCTTGAAAGAAATACAAAAACATTTCCTATAGCTTTCCCCCTTATATTCTAAATTTCTGGTCTCACCACATCATACAGACTCCCATTCCTTTCTCTTTCTCTCCCTCCCATGCACGTGTGTGTGTGTGTGTGTGTGTGTGTGTGTGTTTACTTCTTTGTGAATCTCCCATTTAACTCCTGGTCTTAAGTCCAACATTTTATTTATGTTTTGGCTTATTTTGCCTTGCATAAGGTTTACTCTGAATTAGCATCCATAAGGTGAATCAAGCTTGGAAAGCCAGTCTAGTAAATGAAACATGCTCTCTGGTTGACTTGAAAAGGGACAACAGGTTTCTCTGGCCCATACATTTGAACTCACTTAGTGCTCTCAGCATGTGTGAGATATTGTGACACTATTCTTTGGGTAAGGGCAGCAAGCCCAAACTTGTGCTGGACTGACTTATAGCTCAAAGAGGAATAACTTATCATGCAAACTTCTGATGTTGATACCCATTCTTTGCTCTCTAAGTAGATCTACACCTTCCAGTAAAGGATTTTTTTGACAAACACAAAATTCCAAACCTTCAGAAGTGTTAAGAGAAGCTTTCCTTGAGAGGAGCCTTCTTGCCCGCCTGGTTACAGATCCGCATCAGTCCCAAATAAACACACAGGAGGCTATATTAATCATGAAGCTGTTGGCCTTGCTTGTTTCTTACTAGCTAGCTCTGACTTAAGTAATTACCCCATAATTGTTAATCTAAGTATGTTTCTTACCGGAGAATAGTTCCAGGCTTCCTACCCCCATGGCGTTACATGTTGACTCTCTTGTGTTTCTCCTTCCCAGAATCCTCCTGGACTCCTAGCCCCACCTATCTAGATTCCTATAGGCTCAACAGTACTTTATTGACAAATAACAGGCAAATAACAGGACTTCCCCAACACAGAAGAACTTAACTCTTGATTTGGCACAGCTTTGGACAAGGGAGACTCTGTGCTTAGGGAAACCTGTCTGAAGACTGAGTTTACTGTTGCATGGTCAGTTATAGCTCCACTCCTACAGAGTCCTTTACCCAAGGCTACTACTAGCTTATGTTTGAGACCTTATAATTTGCACATAAGCAGTTTCACATCTTACGGTGTTGCCCTTAGTCATTGTAGAGCCAAAGGTAAAGTAAATTCAGCCATGTTCACTCTGCCTTGATTAAACATTTTGATATTTGACTAATTATAAGATTTTCTTAGATATATATTTTGAAGTACTGCATTAAAACCTTGTTTGTCTTCATGACTACAATCTTGGCGCTCTGTTAGATTTTCGTAGACAATCCAAATGCTTCCCTCACTCTATGCTTCTCCCATCTAGCCCTCGTTATCCTTTCCATTTGCCAGAATCCTAGTTTTCAAAGAACAGGTGTCAGTCCTGTCATTGGGTCTTTCAAGATCCTGGTGAGAGAAGAGCCGACTCCCTTCCTGTGACACTGAGAACATCAAGGAAGGATGGAGGACCGTGCACCCCAGAGATGAAGTTGTGAAGGTCTGATGAGGGTTTACTGTCTGCAGGGTTCTCTCTGTGTCTGCATGCTTCTTTGTTTGAAGATTTGGTTTGCGTGTCTGTCCTTTACTTTGCATGCTGCATACAATCTCAGTCAGGGCCGAGGGGAGGACATGGAGACTTCCATCTTAGAAGCTTTCCCGCTCCTGTGACAAAATAGCTTTGGCAGAAACAACTTAATGTAGAAAGGGCTTATTTTTGGCTCATGAACCCTGAAGAAAGCCTCCCATCATGGTGGGGAAGACATGGCAGCAGGATCAAGAAGCTAGCGGGTCACACTGCATCCATATTCAGTTAGTAGAGGGGGAAGCGGAAGTGAGGCTTTGGTAGAAGGCCTCAAGTCCACCCCTGTAGTTGTTTTGCCTTGTTTTCTACTGTTTGGGAACCCACCATCCAGCTCCCAAATAAATATGTGGACACCTATTCTTACTTATGAATGCCTGGCCTTAGCTTGGTTTGTTTTAAGGCAGATTTTCCATCTTAAATTATCCCATTTCTCTTTAATTATGTTTTGCCTCTGGGCTTTTACCTTTCTCAGGTCTATATATATTTCTCTTCTCTTACTGCATAGCTGGCTGTGTGACTGGGTGGCTGGCCCCTGGTGTCCTCCTTTCCTTCTCCTTTTCTCCTTCCTCACTCTTCTGTCTTTATTAAAGATTTCTCCTCCTATTTATTCTTTCTACATGCCAGTTCCACTTACCCCTTTCTAGCTATTGACCATTGAGCTCTTTATCAGACCAATCAGGCGTTTTAGGCAGGCAAAGTAACACAGCTTCACAGAGTTAAGCAAATGCAACACAAGCAGGGCAGTGGTGGCACACACCTTCAATCCCAACACTGGGGCGGGAGAGGCAGGCAGATCTCTGTAAGTTTGACACCAGCCTGGTCTACAAGAGCTAGTTCCAGGACAGACTCCAAAGCTACACAAAGAAGCCCTGTCTGGAAAAGAAAAATCCCACAACACGTCTTTGCATCATTAAGCAAATACTCCGCAGCATAAAGAAATGTAACATCTGAAGCTAACATTCCACAACACACCCCAGACACCCAGGGACCCAAGTCCTCTAACACAACTCCACCTCCTAAAATTTGTTCAACCTGGAACAGTGCCACCACCTGAAACCTGAGTGTTTGAATGTGCAAGCCTATGCACAGATCCCACATTCAGAGCCCAACAGGCCTGCACTCAGCCATCGCGCTGCTGTACCCTGCTTTCTGTAGAAATGGAAGATACAGGGCAACAGGCCAAGCTCAGCAGCTCCATTAAATCTGTGCCCGCTGAGTGTCAGCTATCTGTTTCACTACACGCTCACTGATTTTAATAATGGTGTATTGTGTGCTTCATAAAATGTGAGAGAAATTCATTTCTAATATTCTTACTCAACAACAAAAGAGGTGACAGCTATGCTCAGTGTCTTTGCTGGTTCTCTCTACAGTGTATACACAGATAAAAATATCACATGAACCTATAAATAGACAGTCATTACTTGTCCCTTGAAGTTTTTTTTTATATTTTTAAGACACTGAAGGCTAGCAATGTAATTGTATACTCCATAAGGCCCTGGCTTCTATTTATAGCTCCCTACCTCACATACCGAATTCCTCAGCTTACTGGGAGCCCCACACAGCAGAACCCTTTCTCCAATGTTCAAGCATATCAGCTCAAAACTATGAACAGCACATAAAGAGGACCGGGAGTCACAGCACAGGGTAACTCCTGGGGTTCCAGGCCCAGTATAGCTCAGCTGGAGTCAGACAAAGATGGTCTACAGCTAGGTTCACAGAAGGTCACTGCATCGGCTACCTGCTTAACAAAAAAAAGTAAATCCTTGCCTTTGCACTGATAACAGACCTCATTTTGACAGCAGCTTTAAAATGAGAAAGCAGAATTGACTCAGTAAAGGAAGGAAATGAGCAATATGACTGGCAAGAATAATTTAGTTCGGCACTTTGCAAAATAGAATTGACATAGGAAATTAACAATAATTGTTTTCGCTTGCTTACAAGGAACCCAAGCTCCTCGTAGTTCTTTTGTTATTTTCTGTGTCTGCAGCACTCTTACAGGAGCCACTGTTTTTACATGAGAAGATCATGAGATTTGGAAGACTAGACACGCTACCTACCATGAAGCCCGCCTTTAGCCAGTGTGATACATGCCTCTCAAGTTATTAAGGAAAGTCCCTTCGGGGACATTCAGGCAAGTCCCATTAGCAAAGACGTTCATGTCAGGGATCTGTGTGTGCTGTATGTACATTTTTGAAGGGCTACATTTAGAAGTTTGAAATTATTCTACACAGAGATCATGTGTGAAGAAAGGGGAACCAGATCACAGGAAACCCCATCAGTGTCTTGAACAGATTGAGCTGAACAGAGGCTCACTGAGAGAATCTGAAATGTGTGATGTGTAAGGTTCTCAACTAGGAACTACTTGGGTAAGAGGCATCACGACTTAGTGTGCTGTGTCACCACAGCACATATCTCATTCTGTCCCTTTATTGTCACTTGGCCATGCATACTGTGGCCAGAAGGAGGGCTGCAGGGCCGAGAGTGGAGGAGCAGGTGATGACTCAGAAGGCCGCACAGAGCCCATGCTGCTTAGCGGCCCCGACTTCCCTGAGAAGGAGGAGGGAAGACTGAAGGAAGCCCACCGGATCTGTCGCTATGTAAATCCCATCTCTAAGGAAAGGGTTGGCACAACAGGATCTGGTGGCAGATGCGGCATTTCGTTTCAACCAGAGTGCAAGTGACGAGCGAATAAGGGATGCGTGGGAGTGTGAGCGTGGGCAGAGTTGTGTGGATGTGTGCATGTGCCCTGATACGTGTGCGCTGCCCACGGAGCAGAGCAGAGTTTGAAAGGGTAAACCTGACGAGAGATTTGTGCACACAGTTGGGTTTTTCAGTGGCGAGGCAGGAGAGCTGCATGCTGTAAGCAAGTGCCCCGCCCATGTGCATCCTTCCACATATACGCGACATAAAAAGTGAACTGCCTTATGCCTCCCCTGGGGGAAGAAAGTGCGGTGGCTTTGCTTCCTAAGCAGGTGTCAGATCTGTGGTAACACCTCAAATCAGAGCCTGGTCTTTCATGAGACAATGTCTCCTAAAAGCCTGATGGCTTATTCTAGGGGAAAAAAAGAAAATGAAGAGATGGAGTTTATTTGAAGTTAAAGTTCAGAGGAGAGGGGAATCAGCATACCCACACTGAAATGCAGTACTTCATTCATGTTAAATTCTATTGTATTTAGTTTGTATGAACAAAGATCATCAAGTAGGATTAAGAGTTGGTGAGACAGCCCAGTGGTTAAAGGTACCTACCCCCAAGCTTAATAGCCAAGAGTTCAATCCTTGGAACCCACATGGTTGAAGGAATGAAGTCACTCCCACAAGCTGTCCTCTGATCTCCAATGTATGCAGTGACATCTTCACACACACAAAAATAAATAAATTACGTGGTTAAGAAAAAGTTAGAAGTAGTTTCAAAATGGATGGCTAGAGATTTTTAAAATCATGTTAAATACAGCAGAACTAGGTCAAGTTGAGGCAGATCCTGTGTGCAAGCAGAGTTCCTTTGGGTCAGAGGCCATAGCATCCACTCACAGTACAGCAGCAAAAGCAACAAGAAAATTAAATCTTTGTTCTGAGTAAGAATTGCTTGCAAGTAAGTGGAAGTTTTGGTCTTTAAGTCGAGTTGCTGACAGGAAACAGATTGACTGAGTGAGTAATTTAGGCTTTGGAACCTGACAAAATCCCAGAAGACTGCACCCGGAACAAATTTTCCCAGGGGTGAGGGTGGATAATGGAGTTGAACAATTGTGATACGTACTGACATGGGACAAGAATGAATAACCAGAGATCCCTGAAGTCTGGACTGTATGGAACTTGTTGTAACCTATCCTGATGCTAAGATTTCCCAAACAGCAGATGCAATGGCCAAGAGAACTATTCAGAGAGATTGGTTAGACCCAGGGTGGTGTGGCTTTGAGTCTTCAACTTGAGATTCCTGCTTCTCTCACTATGCATGAACCAGGAGAATGTCAAATGACTAAACAATCCTTTCAATTTGGCACCAGGCGAAAGCAGAGAGTCATGGCACATGCTTTTCAGATATACACACACTGCATCATTTTTACATGTATCTATATTGTCAAAGGGAGAAATGTTTGAAAATGGAGGACCCATGCTAACTTTTTCTGAGTATATCAGAATTTGAAGACTGGTGTGTTCATGAATAGGTGAGGAGTCTGTTCTGCCAACCACCAGGCTATGGTGCCTGGGTCTGGTGAATCTAAGAATGCTCGAGTCAAAAAAAGAAAACTATATAACCCCAGGTTACCTCCCACAGAGCCGTCCAAGCCTTCCAAATCTTTTAGAAAAATTTACCTGGAGTAACTGGGAACACTTACCCATCAGCTTCTGAATCCAAATCCTAAGCGTGTTTTATGAATTTTCCACATAAATCCACATACCGCATTTCCCACATAAACTAAGACATCTCGGTCTACAGCTTGCTCTATTGTACAAAGGATAGATTCCGAGAAAGAAAAGACAAAGAATGCATTTATGGCCACTGTTTCCAAGGTAATACAGAATTCAAACCCAAGACACCCCAGTGTTAGTGCTACTTAATCAACAGAAGACCCTCCTTGCCCACTGGGTCAGACATTTTGAAACACAATATGGCATAATAAAGATAAAATGTGAAGCATAACAAAGTGACCAAATAAAAGACTTCCTCTTCATGTGCCTGGGGTTTGCTAGCCTCTCAAGCCTTTCTCCAGACCGTGGGCAGAGGAGAGGAGAGTTAAGAAGAGGTTGGCATGGGCTCTAATTCACCTGCTGTCTCTCCTGAAACCTCAGATCCAAAAGACCTTTTTCTGTGACCTGGGTGAACCCAGCTCGCACTCCATGGAGAAAGTGCTTTCCTGGCTTGTACCTAAATTAGACATGGGAGGCTAAAGGGCACTTTCCACCTGTTCAGCTACTAGTTCTGTGAATGTATGGGATGCAGGGGCCGGAGAGATGGCTCAGTGGTTAAAAGCATGTGCTTCTCTTGCAGGGGAGCCAAGTTCAGTTCCCAGCACCCACATGGTAGCTCACAGCCATCTGTGACTCCAGTTCCAGTGCTGTCTTCTGGGCCACTTACATGTATGCAGGCAAATACTCATCCACATAAAATAACAAATCTTTAAAAATGTATGTGATGTATACATACACACACATATATACATATATATTACATTTATGTATATATATATATTACATTTTTATTCAACCTTAGGAAAAAATAAAGTCTTGTCATTTTTAGGAAAATGAGTGGAATTGGAGATCATCAAGTTAAATGAAATAAGTCAGACTCAAAGGGAAAAGTATCATGTTTTTCTTATATCATACACACAAAGAGTCAATATTTAAATAAAGCAAGGGAGAGGGAATGAGACTGTAATGGGGAGAAAAAGCATTATTGTTTCTCTCCTGGTAACCTAGGTTTTATTTTATTTTAAATATGAAGAACCGAGGAGAGGAAAGCATGGAACTCACCCAAGTAGTCTTGTTTCCAAAAGAAAACACTAGGGGAACAACAAGAGAAGAAGATGCTGACCAGTTGGGAGGGTGAAAATGGGGTACAGATTTATATAAAAAAAGTGCAATGATGTACAAGTACAAAAACATCCTAAGGAAACATTATTGTATATTAACTAAAAATAGTAATAACACACAAAAAAACCCCAAAGAAACCAAAACCAAACCAAACCAAATGAAACCAAACAAACAAACAATATAATCTAGGCATAGAGAGATAGCTCAGGGGGAAAAACCCTGGGTAACCTAGGATTGAGACCCTGAGTTTGTGTCCCCAGCACCCATGGACCAGCAGGGCACAGTGGTGCAAGTCCCCAACCCCAGAACTGCATAGCTGGGGACCTGGGGGTACCTGGTGCTTGCTGTCAGGCAGTCTGCCAAGCAGTGGGATTGTGTGCCCAACTCCTTTTCTGTATGCTGGGGTTTGGCCCAGCTTGCACTTGAACAGGTCTTACGAAACTGTCATGACCATTGTGAGTGCACGTGTGCAACTGCCGTGCTGTCTCCAGAATACGAGGCTTCCACAGCTGTTGATGGCTGCTAGGGTACTGTCCTCATAACACAACCAAACTCCAGTGGAGACCACACATCAAAGAATACTTAAGCAGTACAAATTGGTCTTGAAAGATTTTTTAAATCCCCCCCAAATCTCACAGAATTTGGTGAGTAGGCATGGGGGTGACTAAGGAAATAGCTTGGGGGGAATGGATGATTATGGTTAGGAAACGTTGTACAAAGTTTTCAAAAAAAGTAATGAAAAATTAAAATAAAATGGAGGGTGATTGAGGTAGGCACTAGAGGTAGAACTCTGGTCTCTCACTTGAAAGTACTGGAGAATACATGCTCTTTCTCTCTCTCTCTCTCTGTCTCTCTCTCTCCCTCTTTCTCTTTCTCTCTCTCTCTTTCTTTCTGTGTGTGTGAGAGAGAGAGTGAGAGAGAAAGAGAGAAAAAAACACTCATAGACTTCTGTTACAACCCCCATTATGAGTATGTCAGACTAGCACATTCTGCATCTTGAAGTACTGCCTTCTTATTACATGCACCAGGCACACGTGTCATGTGTCGTGTCCCTACCCCTCAGCCACTGCTTCACTGGGCTCAGGCAGTTCATATGTATGTGTGCCTCCACCTTACCAGGCTGTGATTTTTCTGGAAGAAGTTCAGCATAAGATGAAACATTGGAGGATGCAATGGGCTTGGGAAAATATCAGAATGATCTAGAAGCACTCACTGCATCTGTAAATTATTGTTATTGGTTTCAGCGGTTTATTTTTCCTTTAAGGGGAAGGACTGGACACAATAGTATTAGAAAGCTTACACTAATGGTCCTTAAAACTACCAGGATCAGTGGGGAGAAGAACCCTGAAAGAGGAACCAGGAAGAAGCCTGATTGGAATGTTGGCGAGTGTGGTGGGATGCCTCACAGATAAATTCTCTTCTGGCCCTCGCTCTGATGAAGCCATAAACGAAGCTCTTTAAAGTAAAGTTAATTGCAGTGGGAATTTCACATTATCGAATCAATTTTCCCCTAAATATTTCTTTTTGTAATTGGATCAGTATTATTTTATACGGTACTCAGTTCTGCTTAGGATGCCCCAGCTCAAGGTAGTTACTGAGGCTGCTGTTTTCAGGCCCCATATTGCTCTATTTTTTCCACTGCCTTGGTCTGTGGAAATCCTCAGCTTGGAGACTTTTGAGGACAGAATTTATTTTAGGACAGCACCTTTTTGCACAGAGCGAGAGCTGCTGACTTCCTGCTGAAGTACAACTTTGTCCACTTAAGATTTTTGATATGGATTAAGGAAAATTTGCTTGGCTCAAAGCTGTAAATTTCGGATCATATTTTTAAATGATTCAGATGGACCCCGAAATAATTTGTTTGCCCAAGAGCACCACTTTAAATATATGTACACATTACATAACGCTGCAGCAATGTCACTTATGGGCAGGAACACTCTCTCAGGAAATCTTGTTTTACATCTGTAGAAACTCTGGGATACTTAGCCGAATGTGGACCATTGTTTGCAAGGACATGATGGGTCAGTTGTTTTTTTCTCCGTCTCAATATTTAAACTATGGAAAAGTTGATATTCTGTATGAGCTAGTTAAGTACCATCATATGTGAGTGACTTATTCTTCAATATGTTGACTATAGGGCATCTATAAGTCCAAGGGGTTGCAAGTTTATCCAAGGTGAAGTTGATAAGAATGAAGCAACCCAAAGCTATTTATCTATGACAAACTGGAATCCCACCTCTTTAAGGAAACCTTCTGTACTAGGTCCTTCAGCATCAAGTACAGGACCTATTCAAGAGCAACTAGGTCTTCTCTAGATTTGATCAAGCACTCTTCCTAGAGCTTAACTATAAACTTTAAATCACTAATTAAAGACATTGGTTTCTAAAGCACATCTTTTAAGTTGAGTTCTAGTATGGTGTACATTGTAAGACACTATTATAGGGGACCAGAGAGATGGCTCAGTGGTTAAGAGCACCTGCTGCTCTCTCAGAGGACCTGAGTTCAGCTCCTAGTACTTACCAACATCACAACCCATGTAGCTCCAGTTCCATGGAATGTGAGCCTTCTTCTGGTGTCAGTAGGCCCTACTTGTATATACTACACATACAAACAAGCAGGTGCACACACACAAGCATACACATAAATAAAAAAATAGAAAGCATATTTTCTGAAGATTGAATTTTAATACAATAACTATTTTTTGCACAGAGGCACACTGAATATGTATACATCAAGTGGGTTGCCTCTTTTTCAAGATTATGCTGGGTTACTGAACTCCACCTTCTAAAATGCCTCTGGGGAGAGTGTGACATTCCAATGCTGATCACTGAAAAGAAACATGGCTAGCTCAGTGTCTGAGTTTTCAAATCCTAAGGTTGTTCACCAGCTTAATTCACTCTGCTCTTTATTCTTAATAATATTTATGCTACAAAAGAAGGATAAACAGTTCCTGGCAGTGGAAGCCCACCCGCCAGAGACCAAACTTCTGAGCACAATTTGAGAAGTTCATCCTGCTTAGGGAACAGAGGAAAGTGGTCTGTAGTAAGAAGAAGGTGTATCAGCTGTGACCCAGCCTCAAGAGGCTGAGGCATGAGGAGGACATGTTTGGAGTCAGTAGAGTATCATTAATGAGGTACCAGGAGTCCGACAAATTAGCAGCAGATGGACAGAGAGAGGAAAGAGGCTTGAGAGAGATAGCTGTGCTTCTCACTTCAATGTTTAAGATGGAAGTGGGTTCAAGATCTAACTCTAATGTGCAAACTGACTTAGTGAAGCTCATTCTATATGGAGAGATGCCTTGCTCAGCCTAGACACAGGGGTGGGGGTGGTGGAGAGGTGCCTTGGTCCTGCCTCAAGGAGATGATAGTACAGACTTAATAGATTTCCTAGGGGGCCCTTACACTCTCAGAGAAGCATATGGGAGGTGGGGGGAGATGGGGATGTGAGGAGTGAAGGAGAGAAGGAGGAGAGAAGGGAGAGGGAACTGGGGTTGGAATGTAAAAAATAAATTAATAAAAACCCAGAAATGCCAGAAAATTAACAAATAAATGAAAGATGGCTAACTTCTTGCTTCTCCCTCTTCAAAGATCCAAAGACTTGGTGTACTTTTTCTGGCATGAGGCACTTTCAAATCTCACACAATAGAGAACAGGGGAGTGTCCCTTTCTTTGTCTGGAATCTTCTGCAATATCTCAGACTGGCCAATTTCATACAAAAACCCCAATAGAGCAGACGCAAACACCAGCTGAGACCATTCCCCACTTGGAGAATCTGTTATCTCCATGTGCTTTGCTGTGTTCAGCAAAGTGCTTTGCCCAACTTTTATTATCTTAGCCAGCATAGAAAGAGTCCATTCTTGCTACCCTAGCTGACCTCGTCCTGACAACATCACTCGGGGGATACAGCTTTTTAAACCACAGGCCCTATAACTGAATGTGTGGTTCACACAATGTTTGGTGACAAACGTTTATGAGAACAAAAGGATCAAAAGGTAACTCAAAGTCAGATGTGTAATGAATATGAGGTGTTTCTGGCCACACTCACCCATGTCAAATGGCATTTCTTCATGGCAGACTTATTTCTGAACATGCAGTGTGCACCATTTGCATCACACATGCTAGCATGTCACACACCACTAGAGAACATGCCTTGGTTTGACTCGGTGCAGATTCGAGGCTGCTGTATCCAGTACATTGTAGTGCTTTACTGGAAACACATTGGTCTTGCCATACAGAACTTTAACCGCTTATCTATGAAAACAAAGACTTAGTGTTCTACTTCCTCTTCACACCATGCAAGACTGAGGTAAATGAATCCTTGGCTTGGATTCCGTTTGAATGTTTGGCTTCAGAATTACTATTTGAGTTGCACACAAAAGGTATTCACTGAAGTTTGGCTTGGGTTTGGGATGGCAATTCCATCTATTTCTGAGACAGACCTAAACACACTTTTGTCATTTTGTGCCAGTTGTTTTCCCAGCATTGATAATTAGAAAATCAAAATATTGACCTACTCTGAAAACTGCTGAAGATGTTCTGCATCCCACAGAAAAAAATATCCAGCCAAGATTTAACTCTTCATGTAGAAACAAATAAGATGTCCATACCATTACCATGAAATTTTGCTTCATTGTTAATAAATGCTAAACATGTAAGCATGACAAAGAATTGTCTTTGAAATACATTTATTTAGTGGACACAAACTCCCACCCTATCCTAGAAGATATTTGCAATAAGCACCTGCTGGGAAAGGAAAACCAGTTGGCCAGCTCCAAATGGACTCTATGTTTTGTTGATGGTGGTGGCTTGTGTGTTTTGCTTTAGTATTTTTTTCTCATAGATCATTTTTCAATTTCTATACGTCTGTTTTGATTTTCACTTTTCTTGTCTTTTTTTTTCAGTTCTTTTTTTGAGGAAGGATAAAGAAGTTGAGTGTGTAGGGAGGTGGGGAATATCTGGGAGGAGTTGGA